GCCCATATATAGTCATGATGTGTCTATATATGGTCATGATGTGATGTCATCACGACCATATTTAGGCATAAACACATGTTTTTGTCAATTACAATTCGATAGTCTGGTCAGGGCTTATGATTTAGCGTGTCACATTCCCTTACCCCAGAGAAAGGTGGTCTGCCATGTGGTCTTGGGATTTTCTGGAACTCGTGCTCAGGGTGAACTCCAGACTTCTTGCATCTCTTGCAGAGGTCATAATCAGGGCAGGTCAGACACTTGAAGCGTGGGCCGTGCACTTGGCCTTCGCATCCATCACAAATAACCCCATAGTGGTGTGCGGGCTCGTCCTCGCTGCCACCACATGGTCTTGAGTGTCCTTTCTTGAGTTCTGAAGATGATAAACATAAAAAATGAATTATAAAGTGAGAGTACAGTATTATTTATGTAGCATTGTTACACCATAAAATTTAATCACACTGTAATATCACAGAGAATTCTTGCAAATGTTTTAAACGAATATTATAATTCATTTATTATTAATGTACCTCCATTAAAAAAATTTTAAAAACACTTTAAATATAATGATGCAATGACTTGGTGCATTTTTATTTTCATTTTATGTGTTTTATTTTATATCAATATATAATATTATTTACTTTCATTTATTATCTAATAATTATTCTGTTTTCTTTGTTTTTAATCTAATTTATATTAATTTCCATTTCTGAAATGTATTTATATATTAAACATTAATTCTTTTATCTTATTTCTACATTTATTCATTCATTTTATTGTTATTTTACATTCCTTTTCATTTTTTGTGTTTTCTTTTGTTAATTCATTAAATCATTTATTAAATCTATTCCATTTGCTCTGTTTCTTGTTATATGTAGCTCCGGCTGGATAGACCATCCTCACAAAAATATCGTTACAATAATAAACAAATAAATAACACACCTTGAATGTAGACACGAAAGATATCGTCTTGCAATTGTCCAAGACCTTCAATTAACTCCTCATCACTAGAGAAGGTAACCAGATCCCCCTCAGAATCTGTAAAAAAATTAACCAATCATGTTATCTGTTATTCCTAAAGTGTACTTATAAAGCACCTTTCCTATTGGTTCCAAGCCAAGAAATGAAATGATGGTCCATACCTTTATAAGATACTTTGATATTGTCTGAATTTTCCAATTTTGGAAACACCTGAACTATCTTCTTCGACAAGTACTCAAAGCTGGTTGTCACACCCTCATCGATGGAGAAACGCCTTATCTCAGTGTCAGCATCTGACTTCAGGTAAGCTTTCACGGTGAGTGCCATCTGTAAAAAGTTTTAAAAATTCATGTTTAGACCGATACTGATGTCCCAGATTGTATAGTACGGCCTGCGCGGTGAATATATCCTCCGTGCAAAGAAAAATGGCCTAGAAATCCGTTAGCAGATTTCGGAAATTTAGGGCCGATTTCCGCGCAGATTTTGCACAAAATTAGATTTTTTACCTAATCTTTAATATATAAACAATATATTATGCAGGTATTTACGATTCTGCGCACCTATTTTCCTAGCATTTTCTTCCGCGTAAATTTGAGCTGGTTTTCAAGGTATCATCCATGCAATTAAAAAACTTTACAGTATGGCTGTAGATGGAGGTATTAAATAGTATTACTTATTTTTTATTATTATTATCATTATTATTATTGTCATTATCATTATTATTATTATATATATATTATAAATATAACATATTTACTACTCAGAGCCCTTGGCTTAGTGGCCTGTCTCAGCATTATTATAAAAGGTTCAGTTTTGTTTGCATAAATTCATTCGACCACCAAGGAAATTTCATCCCTTCTCTCTAGCTCCTCCCCTGCAGTGCTGAAGAGCCTAGCTAGATAAAACCAGGCAGGGGTAGTAGGCATAGTAGTATCAAATATACTAGAAATACAAGAGAGCACTCGTATAGTAAAAATGAGGCGGAAATTGGGCCCGACGTAGGCGGCGCCCTTCTTTTTTATAATGCAAGTTTCCTATACTTCGAGCCCGACATACAGGGCACCCTTCTGTTGCTAAGTATATCCAGATGCACACAGCGCCCTTCTTTTTCCGCTAATGGAGGAAAACTTTATCACTATAGAGTGCGTCCGTCCATACGATTCTGCGCATTGTTGTTTTCTACTAATCCTATCCTACTGATCTATGCGCTTAATTGTGTGTTTTATTTGGATAATAGCGACGATTTCTACCTCTGCCAAGGAGGTTATGTATTAACCGTTGTCACTGTCTTGGTACAATTGTACTAATTGTACAATTGTGTACAATTTTTTAATTGAGAATTGACAATAAATACGTGACGACTTGGTAACAAAAGTTTGGTAGAAGTTTTTTAGATCCAGCCGTACAGGGCGCCCCATTGTTTGTATTCCCACCATGCATTTCGGTGGAACACTTTTTTTTCTGTGGAGAACTCTATCTTGTGTTTCTAGTATCTTTGGTAGTATCACTTACATACAACTCTCTAGGTAGTAGGACCGCTCTCAGTCCTGCCTTTCACTGGCCTTATTAGCCTGTGCTCGAGACTAGGCCTAGCCAGCCGAGCTAACTAGGCTAGCTAGGCCTAGCCAAAGTAGCACACCACATATAAATATACAGATTTCAAACATACGGCAAGTACAATTATTAATGAACAAAAAACAACACTGATTTTAGAAAGAATAAAACTTTTTAAAGTGTATTACTGATACCTTAAATGTCCAGCGTAAACAATGTTATGTAAGCCTAGTGTTTATGTTGACATACAGAAATGACTTACGGTGACGAAAGGGGTAATGATTGGTCAATTATGACGTCATCGATGTTTTGATTATGTTGTCACATGCATGGATGTGGTAACATTTTTACTCTCAAGATGAATATGCTTATAATAAGATAATACTAAAGGTTAAACGGTGATAAATTTCATTTTCGGAAATAAAATCTACGTGTTATACAGTAATCTTAAACACCTGATATTCTATATAGCCTCATAAATAGACCTATGTCATGATGATATAAAACTCTGGAAATGATTAAATTCAGTTTTAGGCATAAGAAATTGAACATTAAATTATTGCATCCACCATCGAATCGAACTGTTGTATTTACTATTACAAATGATAATTATTGGCTGAACGAGTACCGACTCTTACACTCATAGTTACCTGTCAGTTTCATGCCTAATATTAAATGTTAAATAAACATATGCCAAAGTGAATAAGATTCACTTAGGCCCGTCTACTTACATTTCAAGTTTGAAGTATTTAATTCTGCGGGCTCGGAATTAAATGAATGAATGCACCTTACAAATTATGATATCGGCTTCTAATTGCAGTAGGTCTTCCTCTGTATCTGCAGAGTCAAATGGTGAAGAGGCACGGATCGTCTGGTTTAAGTAGCAAAAGATGTGTTTCCAGAAGCTACCAGACCAGTGATTTGACTGTTTTGATCGACGCCATCAACAATTGTTACTAAAAATAGGCATTACGTCATTTCAGCCGATCGATTAGTTTGTTGTAAAGCGGCCCAGTTGTTTACAATCATCGAATTGCTTTTATTCCGGTGCAGAATCTTCTAGAAAAAGCTTAATTTGTCAACTGCAAAAAGATGTATTGTCACATCAAAAATGCAATAAAAAAAAATTCTAAAAATAATTTTTGAAATGCTCATTTTGAAGTAAACATAAAAGTTATCAATTTGAGCATGGAAATTAGTGTAAAAATGGTTTAGCATAAGTCACTGGAAGTGTTTTTATTATTCTCGGATCATTATAAATTTTTTTAAAAGAAAAACAGGGTGCACATTTTTTTATTTCAATAATCTTAAGTTGATAATTGTATGCTCATTTGTTGCTGCAAAATGGTAATTTAAAAATTATTTTTTACGATTTTTCTAAATGAAATTTATTAGCGGAAAAACACGGGGGAAAAGATTATCACTTTAAAACTGTCTCTCAAAGTAGGGCCTACATAATCTCAAATGTACAAAATATATTTATTGACTTGAAACAAGAATAATCAAATTAATTGATACAAAGGTAAATACTACTACTACTGCTTGGTATAGAAATCTCAGAATGTCTTGTCTCTAATCCCTCATTTCTTTCTTTTTGATATGGACCAATAAATATTACCGTATACTACTACTACGTCGGAATTAATCCATTGGGGAGGGGGAGGGAGGAAGAATACCGTACGTCACGCAACCGCTGCCATGGTGTTAAGCCTCATCAGTGTTACCATTTCGCAATTGTGACGGTGGTATTGCGTGTAGTGTTGTTTTAGTGGTTGTGTGTACATTTTTGGGTTGAATTACGTAACATGTGTGGCATGCACCTGTTCGCAGAATGACGTAATGGATGCTGGTATACGTGTAGTGTACACGCACATTTTTTGTTTCCCACGGTGTGTGTGTTTGAGAACGAATATGTACAAAACTATCGGACTACATGTTTGCTTATGAATTCTAGCGTATAATAGGCCTACATTGAAAACAGAAGTCACGGTATATTATTTCACGCGTCATGTGTCAGGAAGGAACAAAGTTAATGGTGTGTGTGCGCACATGAATTGCGTAACGTTGAAACAACGTGTTTTGAGTACGGGATGCCACCGTCAAATAAGATTACTTAAAAAATTGTGTTTTTCTTGGTCTAAAGCTCTGTCTACACTGTCAAATTTTGTGTGACAAAAAAGTGTGATATGCCCATATATGGGTTTGATGACATCACACCATGACCATATATAGGCATAGCATTACTATATATGGGCATGTCACATTTTTTTTGTCAAAGAAAATTGGATAGTGTGGATAGAGCTTTAAAGGTCATCGGAGTGGCCCCAGTGCGAGGTCGCAACGCGTTGAAAGTGTGCGCGCTTCACGTAGTGGCATGGAAAAAGCTACCAGATCAGTGAGTGTGTGACTTGACTGTTTTGATTGGCTCATTGCGAGTTCGCGAGCTGCGCCACGGCACTTTTGCCGTTTCGAGACATGATACACAGCAAATTTTGGGTGATCAATAATTATGATCATATGAGTATTAGTAATTGTTAGCACTTTACAAATCTTATATATTATTATTTATTATTAATATTAAAAGTATGTACCAACTTTCAGTACATATTGAAATGTCGGGATATTCTCAACACACTTAGGCAGAAAATAATAATTAGTCCGACGTTTTATTTAGAGGCCCTACTGTTAGTATAGCTAGCTAACTAAATTACTGTAGAACGAAAAAAAAAAATCCACTTCGCCAGTAAACGGATTAAAAAGAAACGTTAGGTTTAATTGATAATACAATTCCTATGAATATTTGTTTATACACAGAGACTTTATGTATCCTAGAAGTAAATAATTAAGTAGGCCTAGGTTCTATTGCAACTATTCTCATAAAAACAGCAGCCCCGTAGGTAGACTCGCTGATCAGGAGGGACATAAACATTTTGCGAGGGGCCCAAGGGGTGCGTACCTTTGGTCCGAAGGGTCTTTGGTCCGAAAGCCCATTTGTCCGAAGGGTCTTTGGTCCAAATGCCCGTTGGTAAGAAGGGTCTTTGGTCCGAAGGTCCATTGGTCCGAAGCCCCGTTGGTCCGAATTAGTGACCTTTATTCCAGGAATGCAGGTTATACGGCAATATATTACCAGTAGTATTATATGAATTAAAACCTAATGTACTATGCTAAGAATCATGTCTTGTGCTTCTTTTATTTGCTTTTAATGTGCAGTGGAGGCACTACTACAGGGGGCACAAGGGTGGCGAAAAATCCCCCTGGAAAATTTGTTTCCCTCCCCCTCCCAAAAGAGTAGAAAAAAACACAATTCGTCGGGGAGAAAAAAAATATATATGTATTTTCTACATATTAGTAGATTATCTCGATTGAATAACCCTCTGAAACCTCTAAATTGTCACATTTCCGGGGATCCGCCCCATAGACCGTACCATTTCGAAACATTTTAATTGACACCCGACCACGCTCACTTTGCTCTCGTCGGGGAACTTCCACTATTGTTATTAAAATCTTGTCTGTCTTCTGCTTAAACATTAGGAAGTTATACGCTCCATTCGCTTGGAATCTTTTCAATTTCTAATAATTTGTTAAAAATATACATAAACTGAGCTGCTGACAAGTCATGCTAGCAATAATATTGTTAGCCAATATAGACCTACATGGTGGTCCAGGTCCCGAACATGTGTTTTCTTCAAATATATTATTTTTGTCTATATTTGAATTAATTACTTCGGACCAGCGGACCTTCGGACAAGTGCACTGACCCCGCCCCGGTACTAAAACGGCCACACCCACCTCCATTCCTCGCCACGGTTAGAACTGACCCTGAAAATAGCACATTAATGTGACCCGTTACCTTTATGATGCCAAGAAATTGCATCCTCAGATTTAAAATATTTATTCTAAATTGTCTTTAATTTGACATTATGTTATGAAGTAGGCCTACTGTAGATCTTTTTTTTTTTTAATGAAAAAAATGCTAGAATCTTTTAGGAAGTTTAATGAAATTCTTGAATTTTATGATTTGTTGTTAGTTTTTCTGTACTCAATAATCACTTTGATTTTTACAGGGAAAAAAAATTTAAATATTTTATGTTAAATATGTATGTTATTAATTATTAAATTTGTTCAAATAAAAATTAATTAAATGCTACTGCGTTCCCGAGCGCCATTTTATTGTACATCATTTATGACATTAAAGTATTACATAATGCATAGTATTACAAATATTTTTTAAATAATATTATTTCATTGATTTTAATTTAAATTTTGCATTGTTGATTTGATTTATTGGTAGCGCCCTCACGTCCACGTCTATTATGAGCTTGCTGCTGAAAATAAACAAGGTCATAAGGGTCATATAACAATTAACATAAAAGGGGAAAGCCCAATGACACGGCTTCCACAGAATCGTACGATGTTTTAACGCTGTTTGATTGGCCGACAGCTCGTGGTGCTACAACCATTAACGATAATCGCGAAAAACATCTCAAAAGACAAACTCTGAAGATGGACGACTCCGGGCAAGGGTGGCTGTTTGAAGACAGCGCTTTACCCACGATGGACCCGAATTTCGGAGCTACCAATGGTGGAAGTGAATTACTTTTAGATGATATTGACGGTAAGTTTTTTTCTTACTAAATACCTCCATTAATCTTAGGCTTAGCCTATGATTTACCTAAGGCCCTAGCTAGCTAGCCTCTAGACAGGCCATTTCTCTCGCTGTGTGTTCGTTGGATGGAATGTTTGACTTGAGTTGATTGAACTTTAGGCCCTACTACGACTGTCTCTTATCCACATCT